AGGTTCTTTGGTGTTTTGGGAAATTACAGGGTCAAATATAGCATGTTAAATTTTTCAGTTTTTTTTCACATTGAAATTCACCAGATTGGTTATGTTGCCTTTGAGACCGTATGGTAACCCAGGAATGAGAATTACCATCATGACGGCATACCATTTGCAATAGTAGACAACCAGGGCCGGACTGGGAATTAAAAGCAGCCCTGGAAAAAAAATATCTACCAGCCCCATAATGCATCGCGCCAGCATAGTGTGCAGATACAGAGTTAGAACAGATAACTTAAAATTAAAAAGTACTTCAACGTAAAAAGCGCACTCATAGGCTTCAAAATAAACAAAAGTGCAGATTTATTTTAAGCAGACGTGCCTTTGCATGTAATCAATGTTTCAGTCCAACTACCTTGACATATTAAGGAAAACTTGTTAATGGGACTGAAATGGTGAATGTATGTAGGGCACAACTGAAAAAATGTTTATTTTGAAGTCCTGTGGGTGTGCTCTTCACTTTAAATATGTTATTGTGCTGGAGTATGCACCTAGCAACAAGACTGGGCCAATATCTGCTCATTACATATGGTATTAATGAAATTTCTCTGTGTATTATGCATTTATAAATGTACATTAATATGTGTAAATATAATAGAGATATAAAACTAATACACACATTAATATACATGTCATATACTAATGGCGGATCCTGAGCCTGAGAGGGGCACTTGTAGATTATTTAAAGAAATATTCCATGCACAATAACCACTACTCCTCTGTGTAGTGGTTATGGTGCCAGGAGCGTCGGCACCCCCTCCCAGAGTAAGTCGTCAAACCGTTTAAGAACAGTTTGACAACTTACCTGGAGTCTGCTGGGATATGGGGCTGTAGTAGGGTATAGGAGCAGTGGTGCAATGTGTGTGAAAGGTTCAGTGTGTGGGTGGGCAGTGTGTAAATGTGTATGGTGTGTGTGTGTGTGGGGGGGCAGTGTGTGAATGTGTATGGTGTGTGTGTTGGGCAGTGTGTGTATGGGGCTAGAGTTCACTCCTACTACTGGGACCACCAGGAAGTGGTGAGAGTAAACTCTAGCCCGTAGCTCCAGGGCTAGAGTTCACCCTCGTGAGAGCCGGAGCATTGCCCCAGGTCCTCTCTTCCTCCCCTGCCGACTGGCTGCACGGTGCCTGTGGAACGGGGAGGGAGATCGGCCGGCAGGGGAAAGCCTTGGGGGCTTTGTGATATATACTGCCCCTATGTGTGTCTCTTTATCTCCAGCCCCTCTGTGTGCCTTTTTGTCTCCCCAGTCACTCTGTATGTTTCTTTCTCCCCCTCACTGCTCCTCTGTGTCAATGTCTCCCCTCTCCTTCCCAGTCTCTCTCTTCCCCCTCTGCCTCTTTCTTCCCCTCCCCTTGTGTGTCTCTCTCTCATTTCTCCCTCTTTGTCTCTCTCTTCCCCCTCTGCCTCTTTCACCCCCTTTCCCTGTGTCTCTTCCTCCCCCCTTTCCCTGTGTCTCTCCCTCCTCCTCATCTCTCCCCCCCCTTTCCCTGTGTCTCTCCCCTCCTCCCCCCTTTCCCTGTGTCTCTCCCCATCTCTCTCCCTCCCCTTTCCTGTGTCTCTCCCATCTCTCTCCCCCTTTCCCTGTGTCTCCTCCCGGATTTCCGGTTTTTTGCCGCCCTAGACAAAATAAAAATTTGCTGCCCCCATGTGACATCACAATGCCCCACCCATATGAACTAACGCCAGTGCTGCACACAGTGTGTGTTTACATTAAAAAGCCTGCAGGGACCAGCTATAGACACCAGAACCACTTCATTAAGCTATAGTGTCCCTTTAATGTGAGGTAAATTATAGATTAGTGTCACTAATAATATGCTAGATTGCCTACTTACAAGCAGATGAGGATGATGATGGGCTGCAGTTTGGCTTCACTGGTCTGGTGTAGAACAGGATCTCTGGAGGCTGTTTGCAACTGTGGTCACAAAATTCAATGTTCTGGGAGAATTGGAAGCAGCTCAATTTTTTTGGGGCCCCTTACACGGCTCAAGGTCTGGGCCCCAGGGCCTGACGGTGAGTATGCCCATAAGGCCCACTCATAAGTTCCACCCACCCATGAGTTCGCTCACAGGGAGTGGAGTGTGTAGGGGATGTGTTATTGTAGAGGATCTAATATGTGTGCTTATGGTATGTAGTGTATAGGGTTACCAGTTTGTGCAGGTGATGTGGTGTGTTTGTGTGTAGTGGAAGCAGTGTGTATTTGTGTATAAGGGATGTATTATGTGTTTCTGGTTGTGTGTAAGGGATGCATTGTGTGAATCTGTGTTTGTATGCATAGGGGATGCAAGGTGTGTGTCTGTATGTGTGTGCATTGAGTGTAAGAGATGCATTGTGTTTCTGTGTGTATGTAAGAAAAGAAGTGTGTGTGTTTGCATGTGTGTGTACGGGTTTGCATTGTCTGTTTCTGTGTATGTGTGCAAGGGATGCATTGTCTTTGTGTGTAAGGGTTGCATTGTGTGTGTGTGTGTAATGGATGCATTGTGTGTTTCTCTGTGTGTAAGGGAAGCATGTTGTGTTTCTGTGTATGTATAGGGATGCATTGTGTGTGAGTGTGTGTGTGTGTG